TATTAAACTGTCTACACACTATTGCCATTTTTGGGCAGCGTATTGCGTTCATGGAACTTGAGCAGATCATCCAAAAGGCACTCCGTTTTTTCAGTCACAAGATCCATGCTCTGAAAGAACTGCCATAATACGCACAAAGCGAGGCTAAATCATTTTCCGGTACCTTCTTCCTCTGCTGTTCGTCCGGGTTGTGATACAATACTTCATGCATTGGCGCTATTATTGTTACAATCATGAAAATGCCAAGAGGCATAAATCTGCGGCAAGATTCTTTCAACTGCAAAGAAGGAAGATGATGTTCATTTTACCTTTACCAAGTTGTTTTCTCACTTGTTCCAAAGTGTATGGCATGGGCTTATCGTTGACTTCTTCTTCCAAATAACCATAAAACTCCTCAACGAGCTGCTCCCAATGCTCTTGTCTGTCTTTACCACTGAGACAAGCAGAGAATAAACGTATCAGATCATTGGCTGGGCAGCCCATGTGAGCAGTCTGAATTATGAAAATTTAGCTTCTAAGTGTTGTGCGTTTAGGGTGCCAAGAAACGGTGGCCTTTTGTGTGCTGCAGAAAACCATCTACGGCAATGGACTAGCAGTTAGTAAAATCTACAAAATCCCTTGAGGTAAACCCTCAAGTATCTATTCCTTAGGGCTCATTAGAAAATTTTCCTTTGAAGAACAACGGGAAAGCGTTGAGTTGGTAGATAAAACGTGCACCAAAAAATCTTCAAAAAATCAAAATGTCTAGGTAACCGCTTTAATCTGTATGATATACTTTGATTGTGTATCACATTTAGAATTTATTATTTATATTGATTGAACGAGGTCGTCGAGAATCAGTGGCGGACCTAGGGTTCCGCTCCCCCACGCTTCTGAGAATGGGTCGCGAAATCTTTGAAGGTAACTTACATGCATTTTAAAAGTGTGCAAATGATTTCTTTGAACTTTTAAATAATAAAATTTCAAAAATTCAATTTAACTGTCAAAAAATTTTTTTCGGGGCGTGGCTGATACTAAGCCACCTTTTCTCAAAAATTTTGGGGCA